CCCCCCCGGCTATAAGTGAAATACATTTATGGCCGATATCTGATATGCCGATATGTTAAAACTTATTCGTCCGATACCAATATTTTATATACTTTCCTTTGTCAGAACATAGCCCTCTTATTTAGGCTTATTTCCTACAAAAATTGTGCAACAGCTGTAAGAGCTGGTGACATTTATTCAGTAACAGCTATATGATATGCATAGCACCTTAACTTATATTAAATGAAAAGTTTTTGTTTATCCATTGTGCTGTAAGACTTAATCATGCTAACGGAGCTAACACGACGCCCAAATGTCTGTGACAAAACTCGCCCGACAAGTTGTGCTATCGGCTATTAGCTTCTCAATGACGTCGGAAATGATGGCTTGTAACTCGGGTAACGTTACGTCGGGGAAAAATATCTGACTGCGGACGATGTAGCGAGACTCAACGTAGTACATAAATCTTCGGAATCCGACATCCTCACCAATGAAACATAAAACTTCCATACGGCCGACATTTTGAATTTTCCTCTCCGCCATGAGCGTGGGTAGTCGCATGTGATGTCATCACGTTGTGCTGCCGCTGCAGGCAAAAACATCGGCAAGTTATTTTAATGGAATGGCCGATGTCCGATATTGAAATTTAACTCTAATATCTACCAATACCATGCCGATAATATTGTGCATCCCTAATTTATTTATTTTAATATTTTAAGGTGTTTTGAGCTCTTCCCACACTCTTGCAATATTCTAAACAATGCTTCTACATTGTAAATGCACTAAAAGAGCACAGCATGTCATGATCTCCGCTCTCTGCCACTTGTCGCTCTCTTGCCACCTGCCAGTGCTCTTGGCCACGCCCATTTCTCTGCTGCAGAACGGAGATCATGACATGCTGCAGGAGGGAGCTTCTCCCTGCACCTGTGGGCTGCACACAGGTGCAGCAGGAGCTAAATCATTCAAAATAATTTATTTTAAATAAAAAAAAATCCATGCCGATCGTGCGGCTCATCCATCAGTCAGCCACTTGTGTGTCATGTCCAGACTTACTTTGCAAAAACCGCGATAGAGCGAGTCCGCGAATGTCAAACCGCGACGTAGCGAGGGACTACTGTATCAGGAGTAAAGGCTGCACTAAAGTCCCATCTGACTTTCTGCTTTGAATAATTGAAAACCTTTCCAGAAGCAGTTGTTTTTCTGTGCTTTAATAGTTGTTTGTGTTTTTAAAAGCCTGCAGCTCATCTGTAGTGTCTTACCAGTGAACCACTGGGTCACAACATGCCATGTAAGAAGCATAAAAACTAGCAAATTAAACAGAGTTTACTTATTTATCACATAACGCTCTTAGAATACTTTTTAAAATCAAGACGTTGTATGGGAAGTTGAATTTGTGTAGATGCACTTGGATTATTTTAATATAGTCGTGTTTGTGTTAGAAAGGTTTCCTTTAGATTTAGATTTGCTGGAATTGCTTTTAGTTTTTATTTTTTTTAACCACAGTACCTCTTTTTAAACGTTACGAAAAAAGCCTGGTGTAACAAAACTCTGCCTAAATGGAAGCTGCTTCTTAGCCTATCTTTGCTGTGCATGCAGTTGTGTATCTAAATTTTCAAAATTACAAAAATTAATGAATATTTATAACTTAAGGCTGTTGCTTTTATGCACTAGTGTTAATTAGGACACTGCGGCCAAAATAAGTTTATCTGAGTAGTTTTTAAATGACAGAGCTTGCTTTTTGTCTGTAATTCACTGATTTTTTTTGTTTTCATATTTAGATTAAATAGTCTTTTACAGCTTTTGTCTGCATTATTCTCTCTCTCTATATATATATATATGAGTTGGAGTGAATGCACAGAGTCCAAAAAGACCAAACTAGACAATCTTATATTGTGAAGTGCTTTCTCTCTGTCCTAGCACTGTATAGAAATTTATTGTAGCTGACTTGTGTTATTGTAATTGTCTAGATGTCTTGTCTGAACCTCTCATTTATTTTGACTTTCGTAGGGTTCACTGCCATCACAGCCACCAACCCTATCTGGTTGATCAAAACCCGTATGCAGCTGGACTCCAGGTGAGGAAGCTCGGTTTCCATTTGTGTGCTGTGTAGCTCTTGTTTTTTAATAACCTGAATAACAAATGCATTATTGTTTGACTTAAACACAAAGTGTCTCTCTGATCACAGAAACCGGGGAGAGCGGCGTATGAATGCGTTCGAGTGCGTGCGGCGGGTGTACCAGATGGATGGTCTACGAGGTTTCTACAAAGGAATGTCGGCGTCGTACGCCGGCATTTCAGAGACTGTTATCCACTTTGTGATTTACGAAAGCATCAAGCGTAAACTGCTGCAGTCCAGAGTCCACAGCAGCATGGACGAAGAGGATGAGTCTATTAAAGATGCCTCGGACTTTGTAGGCATGATGCTCGCAGCAGCTACTTCCAAAACATGTGCCACCTCCATCGCTTATCCTCATGGTACGCTTCAGTCCCAGCCACCTACACTTATTTCACTTGAAAGATATATTGTGCAAAGAGGAAAAAAAAAGTATATATTTTTTATCTTTACCTTCAAATTTGAGTATTTAGGTAATCCGTAGACAACTGACCACATTTCTTACTGGGTTTTCCTTTTCTATGTCAGTGCTTAAAAAATGTCAAATACTAGAATATTACTAGGTGCTCCTAAAATTTATATTATTCGAAGAGTTGCGTTCAATCGAACATGCAGACTTTACAAAATATAGTTTAGGAGTAAAAACATTACCATATTTTTCAGACTATAAGGCGCATTAATCGAAACAAAACAGATAAGTCAAACTTTGTTCAACTCATTCACAATAACCACATAAAATCGGTTCGAGGTCATTAAGCACAACCAGAATTAATACATAAGGTGCACCGGATTATAAGGCTGACTGTTGATTTTTGAGAAAATTAAAGCATTTTAAGTGCGCTTTAGTCTGAAAAATATGGTAATAAAGTAAATTAATCTGTCTTCCAGCTTGACATGAGCTAAACCAAAATACACATCAGCATTGAGATGTATAGCTTTTTTTAAAAATATTTTCCTTGCCATGCATCATGTTCTGACATTGCAAAAATGGCTGCAGTTCTACACCTACATGTAGTCTGCAGTTTGATTTCAAGTCTGAAGTCGACCAGATACAGTCATGACTCTTTGTAGAGTACTGTAGTTACTGGTAGTTTAGGCTGCTGTAGATTTAGTGTCGGTGAGAATACAAAGAAACTGAGATTTACAGTTCTAAATCTTAAAATGTTTTACCAGTGAGAAACTATAACTCTCATTGAGAAAAAATACGAGTATAACAATCAGTGGCTAAAGTATGTTTAACAGCATTTTTCTTTCTCCGATCGCAGAAGTGATTCGCACACGGCTACGAGAGGAAGGCAGCAAGTATCGCTCCTTCTTTCAAACTCTGCTGATGGTACCCAAAGAGGAGGGATACGGGGCGCTGTACCGCGGCCTAACCACCCACCTCGTCAGACAGATTCCTAACACTGCTATCATGATGTGCACCTATGAGGTGGTTGTCTACCTGCTTGGCCGTTAGCAGAGACCTCCTTTCTGTTTTACAAAGGAAGCAAAGAACTGAGAGGGATGCTGTTTTGGCTTGAAATGGTGGGTTTTACATGTCAAATGAAGACCAAAGGAAATCTGAAGATGCTTTAGTGGACCAGAATCCGATGAAGACGCACAGCTTTTTAGTACATCATCATCACGTCCTCCAGAGAAGAGACGAGGCACTAAAAGGAGACACAGAAGCAGTGCGGCATCTTTCGAAGCTGTTTTAAAGGAAATCAGCGGCCTTCGAAAAGTAGTTAGTCCGTATCCATCTGTACGTTTGAGGGTTAGTGAAAAACATCTTTTTAAATAGTGTTTTAGACGTTGTGAGAGAGGAATGCATGAAGACAACTTAAGAGATTAACGTAGATCAGTTTCCAACCTGTTCGGCACCTTTGTATTAAACTGCACTTTCTCTTGTATTGAAAGGAATGTCCATTGAAGTTGGAATCTTAGAAGAAGGAGGTTGAATTTGAAACAAAGATGTCTGTATTCGTTTTGGTCATCTGAACCACTCTTGGTGACGCTGCAGAGAGTTAGTCTTCATATATTCTCCTCTGAACTCTACAGCTGCCTCTCAGATGACCAACTGGTATGAAACGATGGTGAGCTTGTTCACGTAGCTCAGACCCTTAAGTTAAAAATATGACCTTTATTCAGTGTTTAATTCATCCTGAGCTCATTGACAGTTGTATAGTTTTTATTGGGGTTAGCTAGTATATTTGGTTTTTATTTGTTAAAACTAGTAATGGCGGCCATTGCTGAGCACAAAAGTACAGCCTCTTAAAAACAGAAGGCTGTGTCTTTTTGTTTTGAAAGTTGAAGCCTGTGTTGGGTTGTACTTGTGTCCAAAAGGTACTGAGTGTCTTTTGTTAGAGAGTTGCTACTTGAATCTAATGTGACAGTTTGGAAAAGTGTTGGGAGTGGGAAGATACTGAGAGTCACTTACAGCCTCTGTGTGCGTGTGTTTAACAAGATGGATGATGCGTTCGTGTTGAAGAATGTGTGCGTACCTGCATGTGTCATAAATACCCATCAGCTCACTGTTAATTTTGTAATACACTGCAGTTTGGAGTGGAGAGGCTCCAGTCATGCCAGTTATTCCTTACCAGTGGTTTCCAACTGACCTGATGCACTTTGTGGCCTTTTAGGGCTTGTGCTTTGCTTTTTAATGTGTGGACGGACTAAACTTGTACATTGTAAAAGAAAAAGAAGTATTACTGTATTTCAGATTTTGCGCAACGGTTCTTATAGCGGATGTATGTATAGTTTAGAGTTCTCGTTTGTTGTGAAGGACAGATCTAGACGTTTGTAAATAATATAACGTAAAAGCATATCTGTTTTTGTTTTCCTCTGAGCCCCACTTCTGATCATGCTGTAGTTTGCCTTTGCTGAAGATTGTTTTTATTTTTGTGCAATTGAACCCATTTTGACATTGACTGTTGACATGAATATTAATACCGCTTGGCTTCTTTTTTTCCTACTGTGTTTGTACGTTACAAAAATGTGCCGTGCAAAGGATAACGTGCCGAGGATCAAATGCATAAATGTGCGTTTGAGTTGAAGCATCGATTACTTGTTCAGGCTTATTCTTAAAACATGTTTGGGTTTGCAAAGTTTGATCGCTTCTGGCATTTGGGTTGTTTACATGACATGTTTCTTTACTTTCCTTCCTTGTTGTTTTCTTTGCAATTTGTTTTAGAGTATTTTTCTTGAGGGATTTCTGTGTGAAATGTCAAAAACTGGAGTCATTTTCCCAACACTACAGTAAAAGCTGCTTTGGATGATCACAACTTGCAGCTGTTCTTCACTTGTTAACAACATGCTTGTGAAGGCCCTTTTAGGAAATGTTTTTTTTTTTTTTTTGTCATAGAAAACAATGCTACACAGCCTAACACTGTATCTGTAAAAAATAAAGTTTTTTCTAAAAACTTCTCCACTAAAAGGCATCCACACCTGTTCTTGAGCTCGCTATCCCATCTGTGTTGCAGTCATTTCAAACAAATTAAAAGCACATACGTCTTCAACTCTTGCCGTAGTACTTGACATAACTAATTTTGACAAGAGTGGAGAACTGGACAAACATTGCAATCATTTCACTTGTTGCCACTTAAATTGGTGTCTTTGCCCTGTATGCTTGCACAGGACGCAGCCTCAAAACAATCAGAAGATCGAGTTAAAAGTAAAAGTCATCTATGTGTTTTGGGTTTGTTTATTTTTATTTAATTTTTTTTAAAACACAAAAGCCAATAAAAAATGTATTTACAACTACAATTTTTAGTATGTATTTATTTCATGTGTTTTTGCAAGGATTTTTGCTGTTTTGGGCAAATATTAAACATTTGTGATAAAATTGTCTTTTGCCCAAGTAGTAGAATTTGTCTGATTTTTTTTTTTCCCCAAATCATTGCTCAAATCAGAAGAAGTTTTTGCTCAAAACATCTCTGCATAATTATATTTAAAATGGCAATAATGTACTGCATGCAAACTACCCAGTGTTCGCAGTAACGGACTACCACCTGCAGGGGGAGCCAATGCGCTTTTCAATCCACACAGGTTGAAGACTTGGTCACTTGTCCTATTTAATCCAGGTTATGCATTAAAGTGTAGTGCAATAAAACATAATATGCAGAAACATTATTATGTAAACAATAAAGAACAAAAAACGAGTTGTTTACCTTTAAATTGTTATGTAGAAGGTCCTAATAGCTGAATTCTCACAAATTAAAAACAACTAAAATACCTCACAAACAGCAGTGTGTGAGAATGCATCAGGATATTTGTTATTTAGTCTTTGTTAATGTTTAAAGACCCGTTTGTCAATTTTGCTTTTTATAACTGTTTGTAATTTCATTTAAGAACTGAAACAAGTCTAAAATGGTTGAGTCAGGTCCTCTGGACAGATTCTTCTTCCCTGACCTGACTCATCCTTGTTAAAATTCATCTACCAGCTTGTCACATTTTTGGTTAGAGCTCAACACCGAAGTAGTTTCTTCTCACAATATTTTTTTCAAAATTTCAAGCTATTCTCTAATAAAAATATAAACTATATTTGGGGTAAAGATTGAAATACTAAATAAATATTTGAACACTCACAATTAGTTTGAGTTTTTTTTTATTCCAACAATCATCCCACATTCTCTTGAGTTCATAAAATAGATATTTTTAAACTTTACAAAATTCATTTCAAGCCGGCTCACCCTTTTGCATGATAAAATATCTCTTACCCATAGATTCTTTAGTGTTTATGATAATGTAATCCAATGTAATGTCAGAGAGTGTACTTTTATATCAATATTTATGGTCTATATTAAAACATATTTTCTATATAATGGTTTTAATTAAAGCACTGTGCCTGTTAGGTTCTCTAAAGTAGTGTATTTGTCCCTTAAAAAATGAATAAGAATACTTTTCTATAATGTAACACAGTAACAGATCTATATGACAATTAAATATATTAGTGGTTTGTTAGGTAATAAAGCTTCATCTGGAAAATATACAGGCCTTCAACAGCAACAAAAAAAACAACAGAGAATGATGCCTTCAGGTACTGTCAGAATTCTAGTCGTGGTGGGAAAGAAAGTGTGGGTGAAGGGTACTCCATCCATCCTTTATGGGCTCAACTCTATAACACAAGAAGAAACTTTTTAAAAGAGTGCCCCTTCCAAGATAGCAGCAGAGAAAAAATGTGAAACATACTGCATTTTTGTTTGCTTAATTGTGGTTTATTTTCTGTCAGCCTTTTATATTTTTAATGGCGAAAGTCCAATCTCATACATACTGCATAAGCTTTAAAAAGTACATATTTTGCAGTTTGCAGCTTCCAGTGGTCGGAGACAAACAGTGAAAACTGATCTGAAGGAGGCTAAAAGATGCAGCAGATAATGAAGAAGTGTCACATTACTTGCTGAGTGGAAAATGTCCCAAAGCTGACACCAGAATGGATTTAACCATTGTAAGTGATACATGGATCTGTGTCAGCTTTGCTGAAATTAGTGGAATTGTTGTTGCTTTACAATAAAAATCAGGCATCAACGAATCTTTAGAAAAAAGCAGTCTCGTTTCTGCTTTGTAGTTCTCGATGTAAAACGTACTTGGGTCTTTTAAAAAAAGTTTTTTTTTTAATTATTAATACAAAAGATCACATTAATTTGAAAATCAATATTAAGTCACGTTGTTCAAGCAAAAATAATGAAACAAAAATTGCAACTTATCACATATATTTCCGGATTCTGTTATTTATAAGACATTAACTGTTATGAGATAATAACTGTCTCGTTATTGTATAACAATACTATAATGACAGTATTGTTTTTTTTTTCTATTCATTTATTGTCCTTTTTACTGTACTTTTGGATGAACTGGAACAGTGAAAGCCTATATGTTCGAGTAGTACTCGAACGCATCGTGAGAGCCCGTCGACCAATCACGTCAGCGTAAAAAGCAGCGTCGTGGTAATCAACCAATCAGCGTTCGTTGTGCGGAGTAAACGGACACAGCGTCGGCTCCTTGGATGTTTCTAGCTGCGGTTAACTGCAACAAAGAAAACGTCGTTACTTCGTGGAAATATCCGTAACAACGCAGGAATAACCTTCTTGTCAGAAGCGGGAAAGACGAGAAGCGTCGGACTTATTGTGGAGGGAAACCCACAGGGCGAAGTATTCTTCGGAGACGAGTTGAGTTCGGTAAGTGGGTCTGTGTTTACACGGGATGAACAACCAGCACTGAGTGACTGAATGTTGTGTTTTCCTCCAGAAAGTGAAGTCACTTTTCCTATGACGTCACGTTTTCTAGCGCTGTCACGTCTTGACATCGTGAAGTAAACTAAAGTTTTCAAAGCCTTGTTAAAAAAAAAAAAAAAAAACGCTCTGCAGCTCCAGTTCACTGTGAGTGCGGCTCCGAACGTGCACGAGCGCACGTGCTGACCTAGTTGTCATCACCTCTGGCCGTAGCAGTGATGTCTCCTTATCTGACTTCAGCATCAAAAATGGATTAAATTAAAATCTGAATGATGTTAGTAAACAGTGTGAACTTGACCTATGTACAGAATAAACTGCTGTGCGCGCGCCTTTTATGTCAGTTTTCTAAGCAAGCGTTCCAGGCTTTTAATGGACATGTTTCTATGACCGATTTGTTTTATTTTTTATCATTTTATTTCGTATTGGGAATTTTTGTTGTTGTGCCTTGTGAATCACTGGATACTACAAGAAGATTGCATGTGTTTTAAAGAAAAACTAAACAATTTTAATAGCTGCAGAGAAGCACTAAAAACGTTGTTTTTCTTAAAAGACATGTTTTTAACTTTCACTTCAGGTAAGCTGTATTAGTTTCTAACATGGAGAAAGTATTTATTCAAATAATGCATATACAGACTATTTATTACAACACTGGCTAAATCCACTTTACTGCTCAGCTCATTGGCGCTAACCTTGTTACCCTTAGCCACTAAAATTAATAACAGCTTAGGGACCTACTGTGTTCATTCTTACAAAGACATTTGGGAGTTCGCTTTCATTACAAATAACTAAAGGAAGTCAACATTTTTGGTGCTAAAAGACATTTATACCTGCTATAAATGTTTGCTAAAACTGGACCCAATTTGGTCTAAAAGTGAAGTAGACATTTAAACCCATAGGTAGTTGTATAGACATATGTTGCCTAGATTGGCATGACAAAGAACTACAGTACCTCTAAGATTGTTTGTTGTCACTGGTCACTAGTTTGAATCCAAAGGTTAAATCATGTCATCTGGACCAGTTTCTTGAAGTGAGAAACGTTTTGTCCCCCTTCCGGAAGACTTCGTCAGTCCTGCCAACCAGATCTGTCCCATAAGTAGCCGTGTTTCAAGCCAGTGTTAGAGCTTACAAACCCCTTTTTTTAGTGACCAGTGACTTGCTTAAAAGGTTTACAGTGTCTGAAAAGTATTCAGCCCCAGAGCTAACCAGCTGCATTGCTTTTTAAAGGGATATTCTAGTTATTTTTGGAGTAACAATCTGTCTAACAGTGACATCAGTCACCACCAGTTGGGTCTGCCCACTGTTGACACCCATGCCCACTCAGCCCAGTTTATGGGACCATCTTGTTTGAGGTTCCAAGCGGACTGCTCCGAGGTGACGATTTTGACGTAAGCAGACAGCAGCCGTTGATTGTCCAACGAAACTACGTCACAGGATGATCTGCCCAGCAAAACAGCAAACTACATCTGAACCTCCACTTCCTCATCGTGCTGATGGACGGCACCACAAGCAATGAGCGCATTTACAGAGCGTTATCAGAGATGATGGCACAGCATGGCTACACCTGGACTTATAAGCAGTGCTGGGATAAGCTAAAGAAATTTAAGTCCAAATATAGTGTAATTAAGGACCACAACGGGAGGAGTGGTTCAAACACAAAGTCCTGAAGGTATTGCCCACCTTGAATTGAGAATCCCACCCATAGAGCAGGGAAACAAGTAGGCTAGGCTAAAGGCTAGACAAAAAGGACCCTTTTATATTGGGTTTCAGGCTATTT